AGTAATTTGTTGTGAACTAAATATTAAATATTATGGTCGATTAAAATGCAACTAGTTAGTGATTCTTAAAATAAATGTAATTGTGAAAATTAAATACATTTTGTAATCGCTAATTTTTTTTACTTTCTTTTTTTTTTCGTGACATATAAGTTCATTATCATTTACGGAAGCTATCTAACAAACAATTTCGCAAGTTAAACTGTTCCAATTCATTTTATTACAAATGTTAAAAAGCTCATACTTATCACTAATTAGCTTTAAGAAGGATATTACAACAGACAACCAAAGAACTCCAAAGTTAAGCGTGCTTGACTTACAGGATGGGTGACCTACTGGGAAGTAAGCATAGTGCAACGCTAAAATATATCAATTGGTAGTAGAGTTGAGGTCACAGGTACGAATCGATCCAAATGGGTTGGGTGTAGGTCGAGCCATGTCTAGTCCCGGGGCAGGGTGGGGGGTGCTGTATTGTTGGGGGTCCATCGGGTTGACCCCGAGTTCAGCCTATTAATTGGTTACTACCTTTTAGGTCACTAATAACAATAAAATAATTAATTGCAACGATTTTAGTTGTCACTAGAACAATATTTTGTAATAACATATTTGGTCACAAATTATACATTTATTGTGACAACTATTGTTATCACTCAAATACTAGTAGTGAAAGTAAATATTGTCACAAAGTAGTGAGTAATTGTGACAACTTTTCAAAAGTCGTCACTACTATAATAGTGACGGAGGATATAGTGACGACAGGTGACGACTTCAAAAAATGGTCACTAATTTCAATAGTGACCAAAATTGATAGTTTCAGTAACAACTTCTGTTGTCACTAAATGTGAAATTTCTTGTAGTGCGGTATCCCCTTCCTTTGTAATAATAAAAAATTAGTTAGGTTTTTATTTGATTTTTAAAAATGAAATTTATTAAGAGTTTGTATAATATTTGGATTGTAATGCTAAATGCTAACTTTACCGACTTGCGTCGCTATTTTGTGGGGCATATGTGTGTCGTGGCTGTGTTTTTCTATATATAATATTTTTGCATTACTAAAACCAATAGCTGGAATAGCTCAGTTGGTTAGAGCGTGTGGCTGTTAACCACAAGGTCGGAGGTTCAAGCCCTCCTTCTAGCGTTGAGTGAATCTTTTTATGGTCTGCCCTCCTTTCAACCACTATGGTTATAAAAATAAAATGCAGTTATAATCAAACGTTTAATGGACACTAGCTAAATCCAATCAAATCTAGGAACAGCATTGTTAAGTTATAAAAGGAATAAAATTTGTATTGGTATAATAAACTACATCAATAATTAACTTATACTTGTGTGTGTGTGTTTTTTTTTTTTTTTTAAATTACAAATAGTTTCAAATTTTACATTTTGATGGCCTTTGATGAGTAAAAATTTAGGAATAAGACAAAACTTTTTGCTAGAAGATTTCATGAATAAGCGTTTATACATTACAAGGATTTTAATAAGAGAACATGATAATGAATTATATAAACTAATCCCATCAACTAACCCCTTAAAAATATGGTGGGTCTTGAGACTAAGTCATGGCCCATTTGACCCTCCCCCTCCAATCAATCAATCGTTATATCCTACACCACGGCGCGCGTAACACTGTGCGCCGCGCGCCTCCCAAAACGACGTCGTTTTGGGAGGCGCGGTAGGAAGTTACTGTGATTATGTGTATTTGTTCACACAATTATGTGTATTTGTTCATACAATTATGTGTATTTGTTCATACAGTTATGTACATTTTTTATACAATTATGTATATTCTTTTTATACAATTATGTACATCCGAATCAGAAAATTTGTGTGTATTATGTTAAGCGTTGATGTGTATTATGTTAAAAGTTTATGTGTATTATGTATTATGTTAGATTATGTGTATTATCTTTTAAAAAGAGGATGTATATTTTGTTATATAATTATGTACATTCGTGTATACAATTATGTGTATTCTAGTATAACATTATGTACATTTTTGAACAGGGGTTTTTTTTAAAGAAAAAATAACTGTCATTCACTGGGGCGAGAAATTTCAGAAAAAAAATAAATAAATAAATAAAACGACGTCGTTTTGCATCTGGGTGCACAGTGCAACGCGCACCGTGGTGTAGGATATAGATTGCCCTCTCCAATAGTTATGCTGTGCAACCGTGTGCACCATGCATGGTGCACACAGTTCCAAAACGATGTCGTTTTGACTAAAAACGAGCGTCCCATTTAAAAAAAAAAAATCAGTTTCGATTCCCCTCAACAGCATTATTGTGGATATATAGTTATGAATTATTGTGGATATATAGTTATAAATTTGTGGATATATAGTTATGAATTTGTGGATATATAGTTATGAATTTATGAATATTTAGTTCATTCATTGTGGATATTTAGTTAATTCATTGTGGATACTTAGTTCATTCATTGTGGATATTTAGCTTATTCATTCTGGATTTTGTGTTATTCATTCACTGTGGATATATAGTTATGAATTTGTGGATATATAATTCAAATTATGCACAAAAAAATGCTATAGTCAAAACGACGTCGTTTTTGCAACCGGCCCAGCATAATTTGCGCCCCCCTCCCCCGCGCTCTGGCCTGAGATGGACAGCAAAGGTCGTTCTCGATGGTTGGCCTAGAGGGTCCTTCTTGCCCCACCAGGGCAGCTGTCACTCTCGTGCCTTGCTCTCCGAGCCCATCTACGTGGACATCTCTTCTTGGGCCGAACTTGATATGTATGTGTGTGTGTGGGTGTGTGTGTTGTGTATCTATAATATATAGAGAAAATATCATTTTTAGTCCCTCGACTATAATACATGTATAAATTTTGATCCTTAACTTTTAAAATTTTTAAATTAAGTTCATGACTATTCAAATTGTATCACATTTGGTCCTTGACTATTAAGATTTTCAGATTAGGGGTATGACTATTCAAATTATATCACATTTGGTCCTGCCATTAAATTTTTCGGCAAAATTAAAGTCACAAAAAATTGTATGGATATTTGTTGGGTGTTCTAGGGTTTATCGTGTGAATTGGCTTTTGTATGGATATTGTGTATAATTGTTGGATCCCGACTATATGCTTGAACTTGGAGTGTATTTGTTGCTATGAGAGTAGAGCTTGTACACTAGCCACACATTCACACACTTAATGCCCATTACGAGAGTATTTGGGTATTAAGGAGAATAATTGTTTTGCGTTCTTGCTTAGGCAACTTTGGCTTGAATTACCACGGAAGTGGACTCCAAGGTGAAGATGTAAGTTCAAATAGCTACGAGGGTAGTATTTGGACACTTATGTGCATCTCACATTCCCTATGCCTTGATTTAATTTTCTATTATTGAATCTTTTATTTGACATCTTAACTTGAATCAACCAAGTCTGAGTGCATTTCGTGTTTATTTCTTATTTCCATGTTTATATATGTTTGTTTTATTTTGTTTAGTCATAGACACTCCCCACTTGTTACGAATTGCTTAGCATCTTGTTAATTTCCTTATAATATGTTAACTATACGCACATAATATGTTAAATGTAGGCACATAATATATAATTAATATTATATATATATATATATATATATATATATATATATATATATATATATATATATATTTATTTATTTATTTATTTATTTATTTATTTATTTAATTTATTTACAGGTACATGATTTATTAACTGAAAGCATATAATATGTTAACTGCACACACATAATTTTTAGATAAAAAATCACAGCGCAAAGAGCCCTATCCATGGAAAAATTAACAATTGCAATATCTTCAAGTAGGTCCAAGTATTGTCCAACACAAGACATGACTAATCTATTTGATCCAATAAATTTCAAATTCGTACACACAAATCATTCAATTTCATGAAATCATCAAGAACAAATTTTAAGGTGTGACGGTCATTTTTCTAATTCTTAATTGAACTCAAATGTTTTTAATAAAGTATAGTTTATTTAAACAGGGCAAAAGTTTTTAATAACGAGATATTAAGTATACAGTGCAAAAGCCAAGCACCTTGTGCTCAGATGGCACCTTGAACTTCGATGGTGGAAAATTGACTCTTTGTGCTACAATAGTTAGAGAAAGTATAAAATAGGTACTACCTTGTAATACAGTCAATAGTGTTCAAAAAAGTATACACTGCAAAAACATGTATAGGGAATGAAGTAGGGGTGAAGAAAAGGAATTGAAGATTTTGCACCCAATTATCCAAATGATAAATATAATAATTAAGTACATACTGGGTCTCTTTAAGCATTCAACAAAATTTATACATACACAAGTCAAATTATAGTCCACACTGCTGTGTAGAGCACGATTCAAAGTATCTTCGTGAATATTATGAGTAAAAATAATTTACATTATATATTAAAATAATATACATTGTGTTTTAAAATAATGTACATTACGTATTAGAATAATTAATGATAATCCGGGGTAATATAATATACATTATGTTTTAAAATAATGTACATTATGATTTAGAATAATGAACATTATGTTTTATAATAATGTACATTTTGAGTTATAAAAATGTATATTACAGTTGGGCGCGCAAAAAAATAAAATTAAACAAAACGACGTCATTTTTTTACGGTGGTCACGATCCACGCAATAACTATTGAATACACAATGGGTCATGGCATTTCTCTTCAATTCAATCTGATCTCTCAAAAGATTGAATTCCAAATTTTAAGGGTCCCCACACTCCAACCCAACATATATACTTTTTGAAAAGTTGTAAATCACAGTAATTCAGTGGCTTAGCGGGTTATTCTTGAAATTGATTGTGATCAATTGCAACTTATTATAAGGAAAGGGGGACACGATTACACAAATAGGACGAGAAACTAGTACAAATATTGAAAGGGGAACCACAAATAGGATGGAACTATGGAACACGTACAAGTGTTGTATGAAACTGAGACCAATTAAGGTTAAACAGTTGACATGCAGAGGACTAGGATCCACTTCAATTCCTTCAAGAAAGTTGTTCTTGATCGAGTGAAAATTCTTCAATCATGCTCAACTTATTGAGTGGGTTGAAGGCGTGAATCTCAGCACAAGAACATTTGCTTGGGAGCACCCCCCCTTGATCATAGCAGGAATTATAAACCGGCAGCGCCATCTTCCTCGCCACGATCACGGAGTTAACAACATCATCCGTCGGATGGTACACCGTAAGAACCTCGAATCCTCGGAGATCACGAGGCTCCACCACAGGGTAAAGGAAGGCCCGAGCCCCGTGGGCGCTCCGAACCACAAGGAGCGACCCGGGAGCCATGTACTTAGCCAAGTGGTCTACGGCTCGCCCCTTTTCCTCCTTATCCATACCCACCAGCGCCGCCAGGAACACCACATCGTACTCCTTCAACTCGCACGTAACGCCCATGATGTCCGCGGTGTGGAAGAACATGCGCCCGGAGAGACCGGGGTCCGACCCCACCAACCGCGCCGCCATGGCGTTCGCCGCGGGATCAATGTCGTAGTTGTGGAAATCCGTGGCCGTGAGGTGGCACGTGGCCAGGACTATCGACGAGAGCGGCAAGGGGCCGGACCCGACAAACGCGAGACGACGCGGCGGGGCGACGCCGCAATGCCTGCTCAGAAGATCAAACTCGAGGAGGCTTAGTTTAAGGTAATTGTCGAAGTAAGGGAAAAGGGAAAGGTTTTGGAGGGGGTGAGGGAGAGAAGCAAGAATAGTGGAGTAATGGGATTCAAGAAGGCCCTCAGCTTCACCACACAGCCTTATGAGGTTTGACCTCATATCTTGGATTTTGGAGCAAAGTTTAGAGACATCTATAGGGTTTGGAGGGATGCAGATATGGACTAGGTTTGTGAAGAGCATGTTTACATCTTTGGAGGGTTTAAGGTTCTCCAACCTTGAAATCTCATCATACAATTCAAAGATTTTTTGTACAAGCTCTTGGCTGTTCTTGCAACCCATGCTAGCAAGCTGACTCAAACTATGATCGAGGTTAAATTACTATAGGACCTGAGACCTCCACAGGTCTCTATTTATTGATGCTGCTTGTGGGGCCAAGCTAAGGAATATCCATTATATTAAATGATTTTGAAGAAGATTATTAATTAAATAATGATTGATTATGTTTATTAGCTAGGCAAAGTTACTCCGTGGACCACGCCTCAAAACGACGTTGTTTTGATGTTAAAAAAAAAATTCTTTAGCCAATTACGATGTCTGCTGCATCCATTTTTGTTAGAATAATGAATTTTCTGAGATAAAATAATGTATTTTATGAATTAGAATAATGTATTTTATATGTTAAAATAATGTACTTTATGTGTTAGAATAATGAACCTTCTGGGTAAGATAATGCATTTTATGAGTTCGATTAATATATTTTATGCTTTTTATGAGTTAGAAAATGTATTTTATGAGTTAGAATAATTTACAATGCGTCGTTTTGGACTGTGGTCCACACAGCCGTGTGTACCACGATCTATGCAATAATGTTGCATCAACTATTATGTAGTGCATGTGATGGTACAACTGTTATCATTTCAAATGGGCAGGAATATGATCAAGCCCTGATGGTCGGGGCATTGATTTTTTGAACTGAAAAAGATTGAAAAATATGTAGAACAGATATTACTTTTAAAGAATTATGAGTAATTCAAAAAAAAAATGATGAATTATGTTTGAGATTACCAATAGGCAATAAGGCGAAGTAATTAAAAATTTTAAAATGTTTGAGATTACATGTCCATAAAAAAAATTATTACCTGTCTTTTTAATGTATTAGATGTCTTTCCGTATTTAATTAGTATGTAAATAATTAAGAAAAGTAAATAATTTTTCTTATGTTAATCACTGTTGTATCAAATTATCAATTAGTGAATATTATATAATAATTGTAGTAAAAAAAAAATTAGTTTAAGAAAGGTAATATTATTGCTCTTTTATATATATATATATATATATATATATATATAAATATATATATATATATATATATATATATATATATATATATATATATATATATATATATATATATATATATATATATATATATATTTATATATATATATTAGGTGCCTTTGGTTTTTGTTCCATCTAATTTAATGTTGGCAAATGGCAACCACACGAAGATGCATTAAATGATTGAGATGAATTCTTGCTCGTGTTTTTATCCTAATTAAAATAAATTAAATTAATTACAGAAATCAACAAATTCAAAAGAAGTAGCTCATCAGAAAATGGCATGACTCATGCATGCAAATCTATGCAATAATAATAATTTGTTCTACTTTAGTCTTTTCGATGTGTAAGTTAAAAGTATATTCTTATTTTTAATTATGCGTTCACACTCTCCTGTTCGCATTTAGTTGGCGAATAATTATTTAGTTATTTTGCATAGTGAAATGTTTGTATACATCATACTAAATAATTCCTTAATTCACCAGGACTATGTGGTCTAATGGTATCCGGATTGGACTTCCATTTGGAAGATTATGAGTTCGAGCCTCATTGGAGGCGTTATTAGTTCTTTGTGTTTCAGTAGGTTGAGAAAATATATGAACACATACTACAATGTAATAGAGCCAGTAGCTTTCAAAAAAAAAATAATTCCTTAATTCCCACGTAAGTCAACACCATAAATAATTTTTAAATATCATTAATTGCGGGTTAAACACATCACCTATAGATGAGCAGCTTACAAGTTACAAGCATTACTAAAACTTTTCAAGGGATGCCTTGCTTTCTTTAGAACTGAGAAAAAGGAAATTAATGATTTAGCTAAGAAAATAGAAAGCATATTTATAATACCATGTTTATAATGTTTTTGTTTGTATCGCGTTTAGTTTTGTGGAATATAGTGCTTAGTTCATTAATATTTGATTTTTAGGAAATTCTGGATAAAATAGCAAAATATATACTTTGTGACATGTTGTGAGTATTGGTCATATCTCTCATATAAATCATATTTAGGTGATTCAAGTGTGTAGGTAAGCTAAGAAAGTCCTCTAGAACTTGAATCTTTATAAATTGCATAGATTCAAGAAAAATCAAAGCTAAACTGCTAGGCAGGTTTCAACATGCATAGGGACACATCTTTACAAGATGCTAATAGTATTTTAGGCATATTTCTTTCATACAAAATCTAATTGAGGTGATTCGAGTATCAACAGAAAGCTAATAAGATCCTCTATCTACAACTTTTATGTTTAAATTAAAATTTTCAAAGATTAAGATAAAACAATAAAAAAAAAATTATGATAGCAGATTTCAACACGCCCAAAGATACGATCGTGTCTTGGCAATGTCACCTTGACATACCCGGAACAAGAAAATTGGCAGATTTCGACACGCCATCTAACGCAGTTGTGTCGAGGGTGTGCTAATGATCCCAAACTTCTATTTAAGCGGTGTTTTAACCCTTTTAAGGAACTTTTTAACCCAATATCTAAGAGACGTCCAACTTCAATCACGCTTTGAGGACTTCACCACGCTTTGAGAGACAACTTACATCTCGGGAGAGTTTGGAATTAATATTTTTTTTGTAGATTAAATAAGTTTTTCTATATTTTTGAACTCCTTTATTGATTATTTTATTTCTTTTGTTTTGTCTCATGATAAGGGAAGCACACGTAGTTTGCGTTCTCTAGGATTGATGGTTATGATACGTAGTATGCAATCACAAACAACTAGGCACTAGCAAAAGGAAATTAACAAGAAGCTAAGCAATTCGTAACAAGTGAGAAGTGTCAATGACTAAACAAAATAAGACAAACATATATAAACATGGAAACAAGAAATAAACATGAATGCACTCAGACTGTGTTGATTCAAGCTAAGATGTCAAATAAAGGTTTCAATAATGAAAAATTAATTAAATCAAGGCATAAGGAATGTGAGATATACATAAGTGCCCAATTAAATACGAATCTTGTAGCTATTTGAACTTATAACTTCACCTTGGACTCCACTTCCGTGGTAATTCAAGCCAAAGTTTCCCAAGCAAGAACACAAAGCAATTATTTTACTTAACACCCAAATACTCTCGTAGCGGGCATTAAGTGTGTGAAGGTCTAGCTAGTGTACATGCCCTACTCTCATAGCAACACACTCCAAGTTCAAACATATAATCGGGATCCAACAATTATACACAATATACATGCAAAACCCAATTCACACGATAACCGACTCTAGAACACCCAACAAATTCTCTTTATGCAATAGAACTCAAATAGGCATCAATAGCAAGAAGTCAAACCAAATCAAAGTCTTAAAACTAACTATTCATGATTATAAGCATAAGAAACACAAGAATAATATGTAATGAGCAAAATGGAAATAGAGATATAGGAAATAGAACTTATCAATTAAATGGATGGTAAATCTTGGAATCGAACTGTTTAATCTTTGATTACAAGCTTCAAATTAAAATGGATGGTAAATCTTGGAATCGAACTGTTTAATCTTTGATTACAAGCTTCAAATATGTTTAGAAACCTAAATCTGTGCCTAATCTAATCTAAAAATGTCAAGTACTTTGTGGTTTCGTGTGTGGAATCAATGGTTGATGGACTTTTGAGCTAATTAAATAGCATAGTCCTTTTTTGGTCAGGCTAGGAGGCGGCCAATTAAGGAACAAAGTGCTAGCCAAATTGGTGGGATGAGAGTGCACGGCCACTCAGGTCAACCAAGCTGATTAACTAAATAGCATAGCCAATAAGATTGAACTTATAAATAAGGGCAAATTATACTATGAACCCATGGTCCACATTGAATTGTTAACCAAAGATAAATGTTCACTTTTACTATATTAAAAATTTATTTTTTGTGTATTTAAGTCTGTTGGTCCCAATAGAGTGTAGTGAGAGTCTAGAGGGGGGGGGGGGGGGGGGGGGGGGGGTTGAATAGACTCTTTTCGTGTTTTGCCCTAAAAACCACCTTTCGGTGTTTTGGCGCAGCGGAAATGTCAAATTCGATAGTTTGCTTTGCACGAGTTTATGTTGTAAAGAAAACTTTCGGTAACAGTAATGAGGTCGATATGATGCAGAAATGAAAAGCGTAGGTAAAAAGATAGAGAGACGAGAGATTTTATAGTGGTTCGACTAACGTTGCCTACTCCACTCTACTTCCACAACTTATGGAAGGATTGCACTATCACTCGTTAGTACAATTACACAAAGACTTCCTTGATCACTAAGCCGGACAGCCTTCGTAGGTTTTTCAACTCCTCGAGATTACTCCGCCTCTATCAACTTCTTCTCCAGAGTTGAGGCTGGTAGAAAATGATTTCTGATTGTCTGATTCATCCATTTTTCGGGTTTCCTTGATCAGGATTCTCTCGTGTTGTTTTAGGACGATATTGCCTCTGGTCAACATTCGACCCTTTCCTTGATTGAATATTCTTAGCAGGCTGACCTTTCTTATGGTGTAGATTCTGTCTATTTCCATTTGGTCCACTCCTTTTGACATATTTTTGTCTAGGATTGCCTTTGTAAGATTTTTCATTTCGAGGATCCACAATACGTTGGACAGCCTTTCCTTTCGGTAAGCTTGTTGATTGTGGTATGGCATCGTTGTTACCTTTTGTCATTGGCTCAGACACCTGGGTTGGACCTTGAACAAATGCAGCTTGAAAGCCTTCGTGTGAATATGCATTCGTGGATTTGTTCAAGCAGGTTTGTGAAGAGGAGCTGGGGTCAAAACCAATTCTCGTTCTTTCCCCGGGCAGTCTGGAGTCATTCATCATTCGATCCATTAGATTGGATGAGTTATTGAATTTGTCCAAGACTTCAAGCAGTTCTTGCTCTCTCTTTTCTCTTGCTGTGCAATGCTCCTTCAGAGCGAGAACATTTTTCTCAAGTTGCTCCTTAGCAATGGCTAGCATGATGTTCTCAATTCGAACTTGCCTTAGAGCATTGTAGCTAATCATGAGCCGAGAGTTCTCCTCCTTAAGTTTGGAGTATGTGCTATTGATTACTTTGAACCTCCTCATCATTTCGGTAACTGATTCATTGGAGGTTTGACTCCCTACAGAACTTGACTCAGCTGAATAGCAGGAAGATGAATGAGAGTTTACCTCATCTTCGTCAGCCATAAGACATAGATCTTCTGATTCCTGGCTGAACAGGCATAGTAGTCCTTTTTCTTCTTCAGCACTTTCATCATCTGAACTCGAGCTTGAGGAGCTACTTTCGGCCACAACTGTGTCAGAGGTTTCGTTCACTACCATTGCCTTCCTTCTTCTCTCGTTTCTGGAGCCTGATGATTCTGGCTTGTCATTTCTTTTGTATCTTTCTCCAGTCTCCTTGGATGGGCTTTTAGTAGTGTTGCTATCTTGATGCTTGCTCACTATTGGATGAGGACAATTGGCCTTGAAGTGCCCTGGTTTTCGACAATTGTAGCACAACAATTGCGAGTCCGTGGTTTCTGCCTTTGAGGTTTGAAGAGAACTTTCGTGTTGCTTTCGGTGACCCGAACGGTGAGAATCTTGAAAGTTGTTCTTCCTCATGAACCTTTTCAGTTTCCTGGCAAATAGTGCATATTGTTCATCAGATAAAAAATCACAAGAGTTAGATTTCGACCTGTTGGATGTTGATGCTGATTGGTTGGCCACGAGAGCAATATTTCTTGTTTCTGATTCTTCGGCATCTTACGGTTCATGTTCGAACTCATATGCTTTGAGATCACTAAAGATCTTGGTCGTGCTCGTTGTTTTCATGTCTCGATTGTCCCTCATTGCAATGACCTTCATTTCCCAAGATTTTGGCAGGCCACGAAGGATCTTCAGATTCCTTTCTTTCTCAGTCAGTTCCTTCCCGAGATCTGTCAGATCTCCCATGAGTCTGGTGAATCTCAGCTCCATGTCCATGATTGTCTCATTTGGAAGCATTTTGAAATCTTCAAACTTCTTCATAGCTACAGTTAGTTTGTTGTCTTTCTCCTGCTCATCCCCTTCTCCTAGTTCCATCAGAACATTCCATATTTCCATGGCATTCTTGCACTTTCGGACACTTGGGAACAAGGAGTCATTAAGGGAGTTGTAGAGGATATTTCGTGCTACGTTGTCCAGGTTTGCTCTTGTCCTTTCTTCCGAGGTGTATGAATCTTTTGGCTTCGATATCATTTGCTCAGCACCGGCTCCTTGAGCTGCCGCTTGTGTGTTCGCCATCATAACTGTAATTGGTCCAGTTGTTATGACGTCCCACATTTCGTCATGTAGTTAGCAGAGAAGTGCCTGCATTCTTATCTTCCAGTCATCAAATTTAGCAAGACTAAAAACGAGCTGCTTAGAGCGGTTAGCATGATCCTTTTCCATTTTGCAAAAGTTCGTGCAGAGCTGAAAAATATGCAGTTTTTCAGAATTTTGATAGGGGATCTACCAGGCAGTAAATGCAAAGCCTTTACCGTTCAAGGTATTTGGCTCTGATACCACTTGTTGGTCCCAATAGAGTGTAGTGAGAGTGTAGAGGGGGAGGGGAGGGGGGGGGGGGGGTAAATAGACTCTTTTCGTGTTTTGCCCTAAAAACCACCTTTCGGTGTTTTGGCGCAGCGGAAATGTCAAATTCGATAGTTTGCTTTGCACGAGTTTATATTGTAAAGAAAACTTTCAGTAACAGTAATGAGGTCGATATGATGCAGAAATGAAAAGTGTAGGTAAAAAGATAGAGAGACGAGAGATTTTATAGTAGTTCGGCTAACGTTGCCTACTCCACTCTTCTTCCACAACTTATGGAAGGATTGCACTATCACTCGTTAGTACAATTACACAAAGACTTCCTTGATCACTAAGCCGGACAGCCTTCGTAGGTTTTTCAACTCCTCGAGTTTACTCCGCCTCTATCAACTTCTTCTCCAGAGTTGAGGTTGGTAGAAAATGATTTCTGATTTCTCCAACTTGATGAAGTCTTGACTGTGTGAGATGATTGCTTCGTACAAATGGCAAGACTTCTTTAAGGTGTAAGATGATGGCCAAAGAATCTTTTTCAAATATCTTAGCACCTTAACACTGGTTCACAAAAGCTTGAGAGAGCTGAGAGCGTTTTAAGAGCTTTTGCATATATGGATCAAGTGAATAGAACCAGCACCTTCTTAGTTGATGAAGGTGGGTTTATATAGGTGATGAAAATTCATCCGTTGGAGGGAGATGAAATTTTCGAACCTTTTATCCAGTGGATAAGGACCGGGGAGCTTCATGCATTAAATGCTCCATTAATGAGGTTGTACCATGTAGCCGTTGAAGGTATGGAAGGCATTAGGGTTTTGTCCTTTAGCTCCAGGAGATGGTACATCTTCATTTAATGCTCCTTGGTAAACGTGTCCCACATGTTGAGGTCCTTATGTTCCTAGGATGTTGTCAAATCAGACAGACAAAACATTCTTCTCGTTGTTGAGGAGAGGGAATGCTTGGTGAGATATGTCTTTAAAAACATCTGTCCTTTCGAGGTAGTTGACAACTCCTTATTAAATCTCGTTGTTGTCTATCATGCCTTGTGTCTTCTTTCATCTTGGAGACCCTATCAACTAGACATAACTCATTTTCGTGTGTTTGTCTAGCATGCCTTGTGTCTTCTTTCGTCTTGGAGACCCTATCAACTAGACATAACTCATTTTCGTGTGTTTGTCTAGCTTAACACGAATTACAGGGGAGTTATGGCAACTCTCGTCTAGAACGAAAGTAGCGATTGAAAAAGCTAACAGTTAGGGGTCTACTTTCTACATTACATTGGTATCATCAAAATCCTAATACAATGTTCCTAACAAAGTCCATTATTTAATAATATCCCAAATAATGAACATTCAGAAGTAAATAATAATAATAATAATAATAATAATAATAATAATAATAATAAAACTTGAAAAATGAAATTTCAATTTATTGAAAATGAACCTTATATTAATGGTTCACGTTACAAGGTACATCATTAGTGGTTCACCTTACAAGGTATATCAGATCCGTGATATAATAATTGATAAATATCTCGAAAGTCATACTAAAACTTTGTAATTGTCCCAGAAATATCTTAGAAAATCCATATCGAACATCTGTTAAAATTCCGCTAGAATATTATCTTGGGTACTTTCAATATTCCCTTGTTGAGGATTAAGAAGTCATTTAATTAATTTGCTTGAATGAAATTTTCTTCATAAGTGTTATTTTAACAATCTCTTAATATAGAACATGATGTGGAAAATTAGTCCATGTATTTATAGCGTATAGACAGTATATAAAATGTATAGAAATTGTATTAAAGTCTTAACAATAAAGAGAGGAAAATCTGGAAAATGACTTGTTTTATTCATCTCTTAGAGAGAGTGGAGAATGTTTAGAGAGAGAGAGAGAGAGAGAGAGAGAGCGTAGAGAGGGAAGAAAGGGGCCCCCAAAATGAAGGGCTAATGCCCTTTATATAGGCACATAAGCGGTTTTTACTTTGATCCATTGATCTTGACTCGAACTATTTGACCCCGACTCGATTACAAAACGAAAGCACGGGGTATATTCCCTATCAGAACATATAGGGATAAGTTATGAGGCAAAACTTATATTTCTTTGTTTACTTTCTTTATCAGTTTTTAATAATTTTAAATTTAATGTTTTATTTAATAGAAATTTTAATTTAGTTTTAAATACATAAAATTTATTTACTTATTGTAAATTAAATATTATAGAAAATTAAAGTATAAGTAGTTTGAAACAAACTTTGTTTTTTTTTTTGAAAGGTGAATCAAACTTTGTTAATCAAGACTTTCTCATAAAAATTAATGCAGATCCAGTTATTGAGAAATTTTTATAACCATAGTGGTTGACTGATTGTAATGCAAAGAATGGAACCTGGGCCATTTAAAAACGAATACAACACGCTAGAAGGAGGGCTTGAACCTCCGACCTTGTGGTTAACAGCCACACGCTCTAACCAACTGAGCTATTCCAGCTTTTATGCACAGCAATGCAACTCTATTATATATCCCAAAACATAGCCACGACATACATATGCCTCACAAAATAACGGCGCAAGTCGGTTAAATTAGCATTTAGCATTACAATCCAAATATTATACAAACACTTAATAACCTTTATTTAAAAAATCAACATCATCATTTCAAATTTTTCATATAATTTATATATGAAATAAAAACCTAACTAATTAATTATCTACTAATTGTTTATGTCAAATTTAATATAATAAAATCACAACAACAATATTTACAACTGAATTTTATCTAATTGAGGTTTAGGGTTTATTATAGATTAATTATATCAGTTTAGTAGTTCTATTTATTTGCTGTAGAATAAGTCTTTTACTATTCTTTGGAAGTCAGTTCGGCAAAATACAGTTTCGCAATTTTCAACCGAAGTAGAGTATCAAAGTTTGGCTAACTTTACGGGTGAGGTTTTGTGGGTTCGCAATCTGTTGCATGAGCTCATCGGTATTCAGTTATCTACTGCCCTGTTGCTCTATTATTGTGATAACTTAGGTGCGACTTACGTGGCCAAGAACCCAGTGTTTCATTCTCGGATGAAATACCTCGCCTTGGATTATTTCATTGTTCAGGAATGGGTCATGGATGGTTTTTTGTGTGTTACTCATATCGGCTCGAAGGATCAAGTAGCAGGTGTTCTTACCAAGCCGCTTGGCCGGGATTCTTTTTTGTGTTTTCGATCCAAGATAGGAGTTTCCGATGGATCCTCTATCTTGCGGGGGCGTATTACAAATTAATTATATTAGTTTAGTTGTTCTATTTATTTGTTGTAGAATAGGTTTTTTACGGTTCCTACTAACATATAATGTCTTCCTAAACTGTCTCGGTTGTATCTCTATATATTTTGTTTGTTTTAATAAAATATCATCATTCTAGTCATACTTCTATAGGGTTTAGAGTGTCAAACTCTTGTCACATGTTTTAATTTTGTTGTTGGAAGGGAAGGTCATGAATAAAAATTATGATTTTAAAAATATAATACTTCAAAAATAAAATAAAAAGAAAGAATAAATATAACATTAGTGTATATTTTGGTCAAACATATTTAAAAATAGAAATGTGTAAATATCTTGAAAAATGTCGTATCGGGAATTTGAGTGATTCAGAAAACAATGACATACCTGGTACATCAAATAGATACCATAAATCATTATCTACCTTGTAAGGTGGATCACTAACATAAAGTTCAATTTTTGTATATTGAATGTTTCTTTTTAATATACGTACTGAATGCTCATGTTGGTCCTGAAGGATTTGGGAACGAATCTAGAGGGGGAGTGTGAATAGATTCATTAGATTTTTGAAAATTTTTACGAATCATTAAGTACAAGAACTTAACAACTCGTTCAGAGTTTTAATGCACAGTGAAAATGTTAACCTTTTTAGTGAAAATCTTTGCACGTATGAGTGTTGATGAAAATTAACTTTAATTTGATGTGTGTAATATGATAAGATATGCAATGCACTGCGTAAGTAAAGGAGAGCGATAGAGAGATTTTATAGTGGTTCGGCTATTAACAAAGCCTACTCCACTCTACTTCACAATTCGTGAAGATTTGCACTATCCACTTAGTACAAAAGCACTCCAAGATTGTTCATTGACACAAAGTTGGACACAATCTTGAGACATAGGTTTTTTGACTACTCCGCATCTATCTACTTATCCAAGTAGAGGAAGGTTGATGATGAGATTAGTTTTCTTTTTCCTCCAACTGAGAAGCTTGGCTTGAATCTGGATGAAGATGATGCAACAACTCAAGCTTCCTTTAAATCTAGATGTACAATAAGTAATGTATCTCTCTCGCACTGGCCACTTGAACTTGTGAGAAAACTTAAAGTTTTTAGTATTTTTCAAGACCAGTTGCTCATTCTTATGTGAGAGTGAGCTATTTATAGGAGTGAAATTTGTCCCGTCAGAGAGGAAGACAAAAGTTTAAAATTCTATTAATCAGTGGGTACGGTAGAGATTGCCGGACAAAGAGTGCATGTGGGTGTCAGTACTATTTAGCCGTTGGTCCACAAAGTGTGCTGGCAATTTGTCACTTAGCACTGCACAAAAGGACAAGGCATTTAATGATAGTTTGACTTAGGGATTTGTTCATAGGACTCAATTTGTCCCAAACAAATTCTCCCACATTTGAGGATTCAGACTATTCACGCTCAGAGAATGTCTCTAGCTTGTCTTTACGATTCGTTGATATTAATCATCAACTCGTGTGCACTCTTGTAAAGATTGGTTGACGTTACCAACCTTCCAAGTAATCAATGAATAATTTTAGCTTAATCATTCGGCCTTGATAAAAGTCAAGAGGTGGATCCTTCCATGATTCGGTCTCTTGCAACCTCTTGTTCTTCGTTCTTCAATTCTTCAAGTCTTCGAGTCTTCTTTCTTCTGAGCTTAGCTACGAATCAATGAGAGGAACCGTCTCGACTTGTTGCTTACGATTCGTTAGGAAAGGACGCCTCGGCTGGATTTTTACACTTTGACAGAAGTAAGTACCACGAGTTGTAGATTTGCTAACTCGGGTTTACGACTTGAATTCTAACCCTAGTCAAAACGAATTAAGGGATCTAAGTTACTGAGTTTGGTATCATCAAAATCTAAATACAAAGTGTTCCTATCAACTCATTTTAAAAATGAACATTCAACACACACACACACACGTCAAGTTCTGCCCAAGAAGAGATGTCTAAATAGATGGGCTCGAAGAGCAAAGCGCAGGAGTGACACTTGCCTTGGTGGGGCAGGAAGGACCCTCAGAGCCAGCCATCGAGAACTACCTCCGAGGTCTATCTCCATGCCCGAGCGGGTGGGGGGTCAATTGGGTCTTGACTTAGTCTCAAGGCCTACCATATTTTTAAGGGGTTAGTTGATGTGATTAGTTTATATAATTAAGCCTTGTCTAGACTAATACATCATTATGTTTTCTCATTACAATCCTTGTAATGCATGAACGCTTATCCAGAAAATCTTATAGCAAAAGTTTTGTTTATTTCTTTATTATCTCCATTATCTTGTTTTTATTTCTTATGTGGGGTTAGTTGATTCGGACATGGGTCAATTAATTCCATTATTGTCTTGGGGTTTACGGCCTTGAGGATGGGCATAGAGCCGAACCCAGACAAGGTAAAGGTCAATAGGTTATTATGGATATGAACCTGCAGATGTCCATCAGATAGGTCCAACGCCTCATTGTCCATCAGATAGGTCCAACGCCTCAATGAGAGACTAGCTGCCCTTGGCCGATTCCTCTCCAAATCGCCCGAGAGGTCATTGCCTTTCGTCCAAGCCTTAAAAAAAAGGTACAAAGAATTTGAGTGGACCCCAAATTGTCAATAGGCGTTCAATTTCGTAAACATAGATTCAACGCTAGAAGGAGGGCCTTTCGTCCAAGCCTTCCCCAAATTGTCAATAGGCGTTCAGTTTCATAAACATAGATTCAACGCTAGAAGGAGGGCTTGAACCTCCGACCTTGTGGTTAACAGCCACACGCACTAATCAACTGAGCTATTCCAGCTATTATGTTTAATAATGCAAACAATCACATAGCCACGACATACACATGCCTCACAAAATAGCGACGGAAGTTGGTAAAATTAGCATTTAGCATTACAATCCAAATATTATACAAACTCTTAATAAATTTTATTTAGAAAAATCAACATCATCATTTCAAATTTATCATAATACTAATTTTGCATAATTTATGAAATAAAAACCTAACTAATTAATTATCTACTAATTGTTTATGTCAAATTTAATATAATAAAATCACAACAACAATATTTACAACTGAATTTTATCTCATTGTCATATTTTTTAATGTTGTTGGAAGGGAAGGTCATGAACAAAGATTTTGATTTTAAAAAAAAAAATCAATTAGATAAATTATATAATACTTCAAAAATAATAAATAAAATAAAAAGAAAGAATAAATATAACATTAGCGTATATTTGGTCAAACATAGTTAAAAATAGAAATGTGTAAATATCTTGAAAAATGCCGGGAATTTGAGTGATTCAGAAAACATTGGCATGCTTGGTACATCTATAGATATCATAAACCATGATCAACATTATGGTCTTGTTTGGTAAATGGATGTTAGTTGTTAACTGATTGGGTAATTAAAGGGTATAACTAGTTGATAACATTAGCTGATTGTAGAAATGTGTTTGGTATAATTTCTTTTTTCTCAAAAAGCTAAGTGAAAAAGTTTCTTTGAGTATCTTTTTGAATTTTAGCATTTTAGAGTTACAAAAAACTAATTAACCAAACACTTATATTGATTTTTTAACCAAGACAAAGAGCTAATAGTGGTCAAATAAGCCAAAATTATCTTATAGGCTAACAATTTTACCAAACAGGGCCGATAAGGTGGACCATTGATATAAAGTTCAATTTTTGTATATTGAATGTTTATTTTTAGTATATTGAATGTTAATTTTAAAAATGAACATTCAATATACTAAAAATAAATTTCAAATATACTAAAAATAAACATTTATAAGTGATCCATATTACAACCTAGACCATGGTCCACATTTTAATTTATCTTTATGTGTGTGTGTAGGATCACGTTCAGGTGAGAACACTTCTTAACGTAAGAATATGTGGACTTCTTCAGTAATGCACGGTAAATTCTTCACGAATGCACAATGACTACTTTTGCTCCGTAACTACTACATGAATGCACTGCATTTACTGCGTGAATGTACCGAAACTACTACACGAATACACTATAATTACTACACGAAGTCCGCATATTCTCACGTTAGTAGATTGTAGATTAGCAAAAGGTTATAATGAGCTAGTTTTTTCACTATGAGATAGTGGCTTAGCATGCACAACTATCTCATCCACTGGCCTTGAATATGGAGTTTGGGAGAATTGTTAATTAATCTTCATCATGTCCATTATTGCTTATCGAAATGAGGCAATAGGCTCATGTTTTTGCTCTTCTGAGGCTTCATGAATCATATGGTTGACTTCATCCTTATATACGTTGTTTTGGGTATATGTGACGTAGTGACAACACTACTACAGAAAAGAGCTACGAAGACGGTTATTTTTACACATACACGATGATTTTTGAAGTGCCGTGTAAGTGGCTATAGTTGTATATAAATACTTTCTACGGTGATTTTTAGAACCGTTATGTATACTACATATATACGACGGTTTTTAATCGCTGTCTAATGTTAAGATGTACGCCGTATAATTTTTTAATTTATATGTATAGACGGCGATTTTCATGTATAAATATATTTTGACATTAAAATATATGTATAGACGGCTCAAAATAGTATCCAATTCAAATAGTGAAGAAGCTAAGGGATAATAGTTACATATATAGTTAATTAATATTACAATAACCCTATAAGATTCAAGCTTGGTGACAATGAATGATGGAAGGAGAAACCTAGTTCTACATAGTTCAGCATTTTAATTCAAACGTTAAATTATATATATATACACTTCTACTTAAATGCAGCCGCGCCTTCCCGTCAGTGCGGTCGCTTGAAAAAGGCATCAATAGTGTTAGAAAAATGCACAACAATAAAATGCACAAATACACCCAAAAATACACTAACACACGGAAAAAAAAAATGCACCATAATTCCCCACCCCTAATTGTGCATTTCCGAACACTTTGTTATGCTTTTATGCATATCTAATGGTGCGTTTTTTATGATGCATACCTAATTTGTGCATTTTTTTGTTGTGAATTTCCTAACATTGTTAGTGTATATATATATATATATATATATATACTAGTTCAAACCTACATGTTTTTTCAATGTAAATCCACGTACTTTTCCAATGTGGGATAGATACTACTCTACCTACTTTAAAGCCTTTCAAATCTCTATTTTTCCCAACTTGATGCGTATACTTTAATAATTAATTTCTCATTCACCCATTATCCATCATACATTGTTACTATGGAAGAAAGTTAAGAGAAAATTGAGGGTTTGAGTTGTCCTTGATAAGAACCTGGGGCAAACCTAGTTTCAAAAACCAAATTGTGTGCCTTTGATGACTAGGTTTGGGATGTACCAAAAAAATAAGGAACTCTCATAGAATATAATGTTACTCCATATGATTTAAACAGCTAGCTGCAATAAACATGAGAATCTTTATATGGACACAATTTTGAGCATACTAGCATGGCACTAGCTATATATATCATTCACCTATTTCAAATGCCAAGATTTCCAGTTCCTCCACCTGCATCAAAGAACATGGATCCTGCAACATCGCCGCTTACCCCTTCCATGAGAGCGAATCGCATGTCTTCCGAGGGCCTCCAGTGCCGCTTCCTTTGGTTTATAAACCAGTTGTTTATCTGCTTTTGGTCCAACCCTGTCGCCTCTGATAACTTATTCTTCTCCTCTTCCTGCATGCATTAATACCATTTCTATGTCTTCAGCATTCTGGCATACCAATATGGTTGGTTTTATGTACACTTTGCAGAAAACCGATCAAGGCTAATCAAACTATATAGAGTTAATTCCACTATTTGTTTTACATTTATAGGTGACATTTCATTTCTTTTAAAACTGATCTTGTATTATTGTAGCATAACCATTTCTAATCCTCAGTCAACAAATCTATTTAATGAGGACATTTCAGTCTATTCAGTTATAAATGTTATCCTTTTTTGTCCTAGATTTATGTGTCATTCCACTTCTGCGGAAGTGTGGATTATAATTAAAGAAGACATGAGACTCTAGCCATAAATTATGGATTTTTTCAATATATATATATATATATATATATATATATATATATATATATATATATATATATATATATATATATATATATATATATATCCTGAATAAGCGGGCCGGGTCAACTCACTTTGTAAAAAAAAAAAAAAAAAAAAAACGAAATGCCCTCGTATTATTTAACGTTATTTAAACAGATTTGTTGACAGAGGACCAAAAATAATCATATCACAATAATACTAGAACCAACATGGGATATTAGGATAAAAATGGACTAAAAGTTGAATGACACCTATAAAATCTATGATAAAAAATGGAATTAACTCAACTATATATTGTCAATTTGGTACTCACCCAGCCCGGGATGGTTCATCTAATTAACATAGAAATAACCAGTAGGCAGGGGAAGGTTCATCCATTTGGTTAACAGGTTAAAGGTTATATCCTGTCAACTTGGTCCTTCTTGTGTATAGATTTTAGTCGAATTTATTCACAATTTTATACCACTTATTCAACCAGATGGAAGTAATTAAGATTAATTACTGTGTTGTAACAGAGTCAGTAGTATGCAAAAAAATAAATAAATAAATAAATTTACCGTGGGGTATGGCCACCTGTAGTGGGAATTCCACCAGTCTAGCAGTGCAACCCTTGCATCCTTTGGGAGCTTTCCTTTCTTCCTCTTCTTCAAGAATTCCTTCCTCAAACTGCTAAGATATCCACTGTACTTTCGCATCAGCATTTCTTTAATCTGCTGGTCACCCTCGCTATTATTGTTCAGATACTCTTGACTTTCTGCTACTTCCACTTCCCCGCAGCTTAGATCCTCTTCTGATGTACCACCCGCTTCATCTGACAAAAAGAACATATGGGTTTATAAGGTCATGGGTTAAACTAGGTAATTGATTTGATTCAGTCTTTTAGTGTGGTTTGGCCAAGAAAAACGGAGGCCAAATGTGTCGGTCAAAATGATGGACTGCACAAATTATATAGGATAGACGAATATTGAAATTTCTTCCTTTGGTGCAAAGAATTTCAAAGTTTGAACAAATACGACAGAAATTTATATATGCATATAAATATAGACACAAGGCAAAAGGAGTCAAGAACCATGCAGTATACAAATAGACCAAATATATTACACATATAGTCATTCTGCATACACATCAGCTAACACAATTTTATTGTATGAATTGAAAGATGTGTTTCATCTCAACTAAAAGCCTAAGCTAATAGTTGGACTGCACATTTATGTTTTACCTATTATATGCTCACCTTTCGCATGGGTCTATTCCCGATAATGTAGCATGTGGCAATATGAACAACACCACCGTCAAGAGATAGTACAAGTATATGGCCTTTCTAGACTATGTTAAGCATTTCACTCCTAACAAAAATGTTCACTAAAATTGCAACATATCCATATTTTTTACACAAGCTAAGGTAAAAACATGTAACATTTTGCACTTTAGAATTCCACAAAGCATTATATCTATATCTTTTTTGAGTATACCCAGGGTTTCTACCGTCGGACACAGTGTAATCATTATATCTATATTAATTCATGATAAAAACTGTAATTAAGGTGTCGCTGAATGGTAGCTTAATGTCAATGCTTCTTTTTTCGTTTTCCTTAATTTTTTACATTTAGTCTCGGAAAATAACTTAAAAATTAGAAAATTTGAAATAAAGATGATTGTTACTTTGTTAGGGGGGTGGGGGTGGGGAAGGAAATTATCCATGCAATAAAACAAATGAAGCTCCATCAGTACCATGTATTACCTAGAAATTAGGTTGTCAAAAAGCAAGCTAAGTCATTCTATTATCCTAACTTTATAGGTCAACTCAATTGGGCTATAATACACATGGGTCAAACCACACTAAAAGATTAAATCCAACCAATTAGCTAGTCTAATTCCATAAGCTGCCACGCCTATTATGTCCTTGTGGTAAATTATTCATTCAACTTGAAACATTGTGCACTTTACATGAATTGTCAAGAAAAATATAACTTGAAGTTGGAATTAGATCTTTCATCCTGCTTATATAGATCTGTAAAGCAATTTGCGCATTATACAGAAAACAGTGTTTATCATACATGAAACTTTGTTTTTACTATGTAAATTTATTTAAAAATTGAGTTTTCCATTAAGAGATTAACATGTGGAAAGTAATAGTGACAAAAATTAAACATTTCATCACAAGCCTAGACCTGAATCACATAGCAAACTTAAATTTCATTTCGCACAATTATAATTCAGGTCTAGGGTTGTCATAAAAATACAATAAAAATCCTTCGGGAGAGCTGCTCCCAAATGTGACCCGACTAAGACTAAGCTGGATTAGTCTTATCCCATAGATAGGTATACCGGTGCAGTATGCAAGAAAGTACAACAAAAATTCCACTAGAATAAGGTTAGAGGTTAACCCGCTAAATTCATTCCCTCATTTTAAATCTCTCCAAGCTTTTTTTACCCCAAAAATAATTTTAAATGTCTAGAGAATAATGACATTTTCAGCCAAAGACTTTATGGTTGAGCGGTATAATTGTGGCTCTCCCAAATGGGAGGTCACAGGTTTGAACCCCAGTCAATAGTGCTCAAAAAACAAAAAAAAAAATCCCATTTTCATCTCGAAATTGTAGAAAACCTAGTTCTGTAAATTATTTAATATTCTGATAAACAAAGAAACCTAGAACAAATAAAACCTACTGTAGCAAACATCACTATCAAAAGTAAACAAATGTAACTATTGCTACAGCAAGATTGACAATATATCAATCAAGGAAATCTTTTTACCATACTACAAGAAACTCCCTACTAATTGTTATATTTATTCGCTCTATTTTTCTAGCAAATTAGGGAAAAGAATTAACTATTTCAAATACTTATTTGAAAGAATTATAACATAGTAAAAACTAGGCAAAATTACACTTTTTGTCCCCAAGTTATAGGGAAATTGTAAGGTTCGTCCCTACTTGTTGGTCGTGCTCACATAGCTTCTCATCCCTAAGCTATAACTGACATTGCAAACTTCGTCCTTTTTTCTAACAGGTTGTGCTCACTTCTCGTTCCTAAGCTATAGCTGACGTTGCAAATTTCGTCCCTAATGTTTTGTTAGAAAAAAGGACAAATTTGCAATGTTAATTACAGTTTAGAAACGAGAAGTGAGCACAACCAACAAGCAGGGATGAATCTTACAATTACTCTAATGTATAACTTAGGGACGAAAAGATGCATTTTTCCCTAAAAATTACACAGAACTAATCAGAGACTAACCTTATCAATGAAGTCTTTTAATAACACTGCAAGAGATAAGAAACAAAGTCTGACAGTATTGGGGTGGGAGGGAATGCATGCTGCCTCTAACCAAAGGTCTCAAGTTCCAAGGCCCCCCCAACTACTACTTACCAGTGTAGGTCACAAACCCTAATATATACATACAGATTTGGCCCCACCTAAAGTAAAGGTGGCAACATCTGCACAAAATAAAAGTTTGAACAAAATAGTTTCTCTGACCAACTAAGCTCACTACAACTGCCAGTTATATGATCAAGAAAACAGCATATAATAATAACAATGCTAAGGAAAAGCCAAGAACCAACATAATCAGAGTGGTTTAAACACAGACATTCTACTATACATTGAGCTCCTCCATTGACTAGGTTTAAGGGTATGTAAGAAGTGTATGTAGAGTTTTAACTCTTACTCTCTATAGTACAACAAAAATAATCAGAGGTAAAATTTAAAAAATAAAAAAAATAAAAACACAGAATATTATGTCAAAATGAACAAGAACATAAAGATTTCCTTTATTTAATATACATTGTAACATAGATTTATGTAAAAGAGGGAAAAACACAGACATTCAGTGATAGAGGTAAAAACACAAAGATTTAGGTGAAATTGAGCTGTAAAGCACTGGATGAGGTTAAAGAGGATAATTATATTTTTTTTACTATTAAGTTAACCACTTAGCAAACCCTAAGCTAATCTCAAAATTGGCCAACTTGGACAAAGAATTTAAGGTATATATAGACAACAAGTAATATTGTGAAGTGATGACAAAGACCAAGCAACCTTAAAAAAAATATTAATCTTGCATATAGATAGTGGGTTTGTTGCAGTAAATAGTGATAATAGTATGAAAAAAATGGGATTTTTATTTAATAATTACCACCAGAGTGATAGGAGTTGAAGGAGGTGGTGGGAAAGGTATCTTTGCAGAGGTTGCTGAGCTGAGACTCTATGCTACTCAAGAAAGTCTTGGCTTCATCAAAGGGCTTTGACAACTCTTCTTTGTATTTGTACAAAACTTCACAGTATGATTCCTTGAAAACCCAAAGAATTGAAAGGAAAAATAAAGAAAAAAAAAAACCCTCAATTAACCCAGCAACAAAAGTTAAAAAAACCCAAAAAAAAAAAAAAAAAAAAAAAACATAAATCCTTATTCACCATGAATTCATCAAGTTCAGGATCAGCACCAATCTCAGCTGTGGTGATGGGCTGGGTCACTTTGCTCAGTTCTTCAAGAAGTGCAGCCATTTCTGGAGGTGCTGCAACCTTCATAATTATATCCATTCTCAACATCATCAAGAACAACAACAAAAAACAAGAAACCCAAATTTCACATGTATGTATACTATTATATATACGCAAATCCCCTTGATTTGAACCGATCAGCTATGAATAACTTAGGCTTGTGGGTTTTCCTCGCCACCCAAAAAGAGAAAGAAGAGGAGAGAAGAGAAATATAGGGTAGGGTTAAGGAGATTAAAGAAAGAGATGGAAGAATTGAAGTGAAGAAAGAGATGGATTACCTTTCTGCATTGAATATAGGCCGATACTAAGTTGGGATAAAGAGGATGGCTGGCAATCTGTGCTTTTACAACATCTGACATCATCTCAACACCCCCTCCTCCTCCTTTACTATTCTCATCACTGTTATAGTAATTATCATTACTACTGGTAACCAGAAGATGATGATGATGATGATGTTGACCTTGTAGTTGACCCTCATCGCCACTGATCACAATCCCCCCATTCATCATACTACTTTGATGATGATGATTATGATGATGGTGAATATCATCAACTCCAAGACTAAACACATTATTATTGTTATTGGAAGGAGCATTTGAAGGTGCAAGCACAGAATGAATTCCATACAGTTCATCCATCTTTGCTTGCTTCAATTCTGTGCATATAGAGATGGATGGGAGATTGGGAGAGAAGGGTTTTTAAAGTAATAATAATAATGGTAATAAAAGGTGGGGAGAAATAGATGGAGAATCGGAGGGAGAGAGAGGGTTTTGTTTAAAATAAAAAATTTGTAGGTGAAAAAGTGGAAAAGAGGTAGCAGATCAGAGCAGCTTTTTTGGTGGAAGAAATAGTTAATGGAGAAAGGAAAGAGAAGAGTGGAGAAGCGGAAGAGATAGAAGACAACAGTGTAAAGAGAGGGAATGGATGGACGGGGGACAGCGGGCGTGGGGAGGATATGATATGACTACATGAGAATGAGAAAGAAGAAAGAGAAATGGGGGAAACTCAGGGATGGAGGGGGTGGTGGGTTAGGCGCACGTTCTCGCACGGTGTTTCAACAGTGTATCTGATGTACCCAGTACATATATATATATTATATATGTATCATGTATGGCAGTGTTTTCAGAATCACTCTAATTCCCAATACCCCATTTCTCAAGATCTACACATCTCTATTTTTAACTTCTTCTTACTCTTTATTTTATTTTTATTTTTTTTTAACTTAGTTGATTCAGTTTCGTCGAATTAATCTTAAGTTTATAGGACCTTGTTTTTAGAGTTACTCTACAAGTAAAATGTGAGTGGCCGGTGCAATTAATCCATCAGTCAGATCTTAATTTTCACGTGGGCAAAAGAAAACCAATCCAGACCTACCTTCCAGCATTCTTAGGCCCCCCGCCTCTAGTAATAACCTTTTAAGTTAGAAGACGAATCAACTATGCAGCCACGGGCTCTTTATTTTATTTTTTTAATCATTTGGCGATGTTTTATAATTTATCTAATTGATTCAAATATATATATATATATATATATATATATATATATATATATATATATATATAATAATTTTTATTCATTTTCTGTCCTTGCCACAACAAAATCCGAGCATGTGACAAGAGTTTGACGCCGCTACCCTTTTTTTTTTTTTCTATATATATTACTAAATCTAATCTCAAGAGTGTATATTTCCTTGCCCCATTATAGGATGATCGAGTGAGTAAACACGATTCTCACGCTTAGAAAATCATGAATTTGATTTTTGTCAATATTCTAATGTAGTTTTACTTTTCCGTGTAGTTGTAGGTTTCCTCATCACCAATATATTAAAATTAATAACATATTAAAGAGTTAAAAATAAAATTAAAATACATATAATAGAACAAATCCTCCAACATCATCAACTAATAAAATTTTACTAATGATATAATTAAATTTAATGATATTGTGCACAATTATTTAATCTCATTCATAATCTATTACATACTTGTTTGGAAAATATTAAGGAGTCATTGTAATATTATTATGTGTCAAATCATCACATAGGTCGTGAGACATGTCTCCAAAATAGGTAAAAGATACCCAATTTCCATACAACTAAAAAAAACATTAAAACAGTGAAAATCATTGCTCCACCAGGGCACCAGGTAACCGCTCGACACGCAGAATCACCATATTCTTAACTTACCTACAATGCTACGACATACGAGATTATGAATTATTACATTATACTTTTTTTTTTTTTGAGTAAAGATCAAATAGATCATCGAACTATACACGATAATGCAATTAAGTCACTGAACTTAAAAAAATCAACAATTAAATTCCTAAACTAACAAATTTCAAACAGTTTTTTTTTTTTAATTTGAAAGTTTCCAACATGTCATCCTTCCAATTAATTATTTTTTCTAAAAAATTAATTATTTAAATTTAAACAAAAAAAAAAAAAAAAAAAAAAAAAAAAAAAAAACAGGACTCCGGCCGAAGACGAAGAAGGTTTCTCTTGATGTTGTGTTCATAGTATCTATAAAAAAGAAACAGCTTATTAATTAATAATACATTTTTTTTAGTACTACTGACTTTATTACAATATCAGCCTATCATTTTATAGGCCCCGTAGCAACAAAAATGGGCCCTATATGAAATTAACATACATTTATAATTAAAATTTAATTTAAATAATGAAAAAATACTAATATCAAATACCTTGAAATAAGATTCAAAACTTTTTAACAATTTTACATACACATGAAAACAATTCTAGATGTTTTCCTAAATTCAAAATAATCACTAACCGCATTAGTCCCTTCATAAACAAAAAATTATATCTAAAAACATAATATGTGCAATACATGTTATGTCCTTGATTTTTGTCCTTTTTTTATATGCTAACAAATATATACATTTTGCTTTAATTATTGTACATTTCATTTGTATTGGGCAAAATCACTCTTATACCGTTATAACACCATTAGTATTTAATATATCCACCAATCTTACCATACACCTATATCTATCATATCTTTTTTCTATTTTTAATTATCATTTTGTTAAAATTATCATATAACAATTAATTTAATTATAAATTATATTTTAATTAAATATTTATATGAATGTTAAATTATATATGTGTATCACACACACACACACACTTTTATATATATATATATATATATATATATATATATATATATATATATGTATGTATGTATGTATGTATGTATGTATATTATTTGTGTGTATATATATATATATATATATATATATATATATATGTGGGTGTTAGCTTAGTATTATTTGTAAATTATTATTATATAAAAATATAATTTTTTTTTGATCACTATATTATTCAAATATATAATAATTCAAAAGTATCATCACTTGAAGAAATTGCGGAACATAATTTTAACTAATTTTTTAAATTTTGTTACTTAACAATATTTTAATATTGAGCATAAGTCTTCGCGCATCGCGCGTACAAAATGCTAGTATAGTTTATAAAAATGAATAAACAATTTGAAACCTAATAAGCTTATATGCAATCATATTATTATTATAATAAATAATAAAATAATTATATTAAAAAATTATAAAAACAAAACTTATGAACAAGAATAGAACATGAAATCTTAATTATTGAGAACAATAAATCAGAACACTTCAAATGTGATAAAAGATATTCATAATAAAATATGAAACATAATTAATTGGATAAAATAAATTCGAATAAAGAACGCATTATAAATCACATATATTCTATATTGATATCATATTTATAAATATATTTTTTCTTTTAGTTAGATGAATTTCAAAATTTTCTAGATTGATTTGAATACTATGACACACAATAGAACTTTTAAACTACGTTGACTAGATAATTCATAAAAAAAGTAAACTATCTTTTAAAAAAATCATAATTAAATCAAGATATATATTATATATACATTACTCATTATAAAGTTCGCAAAATAACACGTGTTCTAAATATAAGTAGTAAATTCAAAATTTGATATGAATCACAAATCAATCTATATTATAAATCTCACTATAATTATAGAAAGGTAAAAAAAAAAAAGGGAATCATAAAATTACAAATAAATTCTATAAGTTACAATTTTAATAATAATAATAATAATAATAATAATAATAATAATAATAATAATAATAATAATAATAATAATAATAATAATAAAAATAAAAATTCATATAGGGAGTTACATTTTTAATACCACATAATAATATTTCTAAAGAGTTAATTATCGAAATGGTCCCTTGACTATAACGAAATTACCAATTTGGTCCTTACCTATTTTTTTGACCAATTAAGTCTCTCAACTTAAAAAATCTTAACCAATTTGGTCCTCCATTTGTTTGACCGTTAGTCAACTGTTAACTTGGGACTAAATTGGTAAATTCGTTATAGTCAAGGGACCATTTTGATAATTAACTTTAAGGGTGGGCAATTTGGTTCAGTTTTCTCGAACCAAACCGTACCAAACTAGTTAGATTCGGTAATATACCGAACAATTCAGTAAAAATTCGAAACGAACTGAATTGTTCGATAAAAACCGAACCGAGTCAAATACCGTTTGAACTTTGGATTGCTATTTTGTTATATATATTAGACCCTTTGGATATGGACTATGTAAACACCATAACAAATAATATAGAACTTTTGATAATAAACCATAAAGAAATCAAATAAAACATTTATGAGAGATACCAGTGAGAATATGAGTTGAAAGGCAGAGCAAGCAGTAAGGATTTGGATTTACTTTATATTTATTTATTTATTTATTATTTAAAAAAAAATCAAACGGTATTCGATTCAGTTCAATTTTTTACCGAACAATTCAGATCGGTTTTTTTATCGAACCGTTCGGTATACAAGAATCTAATACCGTTTGGTTATTCGGTATGTTACCGAACCAAACTAGTTCGGTTCAGTTCAGTACAGTTCGATTCGAAAAAACTAAACCAAATTGCCCACCCCTAAAGTTAATTACCAAAATGATCACTTGACTATAACGAAATTACCAATTTGGTCCCAAATTAACGGTTGACTAACGGTCAAACAAATGGAGGACTAAATTGGTTAAATTTTTTAAAATTGAGAGACTTAATTGATTAAAAAAATAATCCAAGATCAAATTGGTAATTTCGCTATAGTGGACCATTTTGGTAATTAACTCTATATCTAAATTCATCTAGGAAGTGAAAAGTTAATAATAAATGGAGATATCAAGATTTAAACCTTTAAGCTATAGCACCACACACAAACAAGGAACCTTACCAATTAAACCAAGTGATACTTTGGTTATGGGGATGTATATTAAATAATTATATTAACTCTACAGTATATATAAAACATAGTGGAGTGGGGTGGTGGGCCCCTTCCAAGCGTGTGCCCTGGGCAAGGGCCCAGTCTGTCCTTGTTCAGGGGCGGGCCTGTACAATGTAGTATATGTTCATATATATTTTCTCAATCTATTGAAGTACAAAGAGTTAATATCGCCCTCGTCTCACTAGGACTCAAACCCATGACCTTTTATTTGAGAGAGTCACTTCGTGTCATTAGATGATTAGATCACATTAATTAATAATACATAGTAAACATATTTGATTCAACACTTATACATACACCTTATTAACCTCAAACTTAGGCAGTTGTTATACAGTGGATCTTGGCGAATTGCCTTAAAATTTGTGTACATTATTTGTGTATTTATGTACATTTTTAATATATTAAAATTACATTATTTGTGTATTGATGTACATTATTTGATATGAAAAATACATTATTTGAGTACTAAAAGTATATTATTTTGTCTAATGTCCATTCAATACACAAATAATATACTTTAAAATGTCAAAAATATACTTCTTTTATGATCCATGCATCACTGTGTAGACCACGATCCACATAATAATGCTTTACATCATAAGCAATTTACAAAATAAAATTTTTAAATCAAACATTTAGTTAAATAAT